TGCACTCTATGCAGCAGCTTAACGAAAAGTTGCACAGAGGGGAGGTTGTAATTCTTGAGTTCCGATTTTTTAGAAGAAACCGTGTACATTCCACAGCGTTGCACGTAGTCAATTTTTAAAATTTCTGTAAAAAGTGGTCAAAATTGCCTGAATATTGGGGACTTGAAGCGCCTTTTCTTCCTTATCAATTCGCAAAGCAAAAAATAGTTTAGAAGTTATGTTTTTTTGAGTTTCGATTTTTTAGAGGAAACCAAGTGTGTTCTACAGCTATTGGATCCAGTCAGGTTTTAAAGTTTCTGTTAAGATTGAGACAATTTGCCTTTGAACTGCAAATTTGAGGGCTTGTAGTGTCTTCTATGCTCTATAAATTAATGCTAAAAATAGGTGAAAATCGGGTAAACTTGCTATCAATGTGTCAGTTTCAGGGTTTGTAGTGCGTTTTGTGCTCTACAAAAACTGTACAATGAGAAATGGTATAGAAATTGTGACTTGAATGTTTCGAGAAACCGCATGTGTTCGGCAGGCGCTAAAATTAATTCAGTGAAAAATTTTCTAACTATTTTATAAAAGCTTAATTGCTCAATAAAATGGCAGAAGCTGGAAATGTTTAGAACTTTCAGTTGTTTAGCTACAATTTTTCAATTTCAATGCATAGTTTTCCCGGTGAGAAGCCTCCCAATAGGCCCCACACATATCCTCCTCATAATAAGCCCATTAATATTACCATCACGAGCACAATGGCGCACCTAATTATTAATTGTTGTCTTCACGCATTATTCCACCTCCATTGCCAGAGTATCTAACATCCATTGTTTAATGGGAATAATGGAAGGCGCGCCCCACACCGATTCCATTGTGCCAATGGTTTTTCAGTGACAAACTTCTCTGAATACCTTTCAAGGCAAAACTACGGGTTTTTTATAAACTGTAGTAAAATCGTGGCTGTTTGCTGAAATTTACTGAAGGAAGATATATTTTTGAACTCTTTTTCGTTGTTCCTTTGGCAGCTTGAGTGAGGAAGTTTAACATACTGTGGATAAATGAAGCATGCGTTGAAGAGAGCCCGAATGTGTGTCCACTTATGAACCAGATTAATGCGACCGAGATGATTTTTCCAGCTGAAATTAACGATAAGGATAATCTAATTAGGGGATGGGTTCAAGCTGTGCCAAATTGTGGTAAAATGGGCCGTTTGGCATGTTCCAAGCTCGGCTATCGGGGCACATGTTTTGCCAGCAGCCATCATTTATGTGCGTTGTTATGCGACTACACAACTTTCCACGCTTAATTCGGCCTCTATCCAGTCTTATTGTGCTCAAATGTGATGAAAACAGGATTTCCAGGTTCCAATTTAGTCATTTTTTGGCAGGATTTGCACTAGAACTATCGGACCATTTTGAAATTTTACAAACTAAGCGTTCTAGTATATAAAATATATTTCTGCCGCATCTTTAGGCCCCCATCTTCCACCAATAGATGTTTATGATCAGCTGCTGAAATATTATTTATAAGATGGCCATTTCCAATATCATACGCGTGCTGATGAATCGCTTCCTGCAGGAATCTCCAGTCAGACCGGAAATATTTATTATCCCGTGCGGGGTTTTGCAGGCCATACATTCAGGCAAACGATATTCGCATTTTACTCACATTTGCGCGATTCTAAGCAGACCGAACTGATCCAAGACAGAGGGTGGATTGTTGCAAATCGAGGAAAATTCCAGAAATCGAAAAGATTTCAACAATAGATCGGTTTCCGTCGACACAGTCGACACGCCCCTTTCCACTTCCGGTGCCCATTTTTACCATCGGCATCTGATCGAATTTGAATGGATGGCCCGGAATTGAAGCGGAATCTGCATAATGCGTCACAAAATCGCAGCGATTTTTCCGGATTCCATTGATGGGTCTTTGCTCAGCTTAGGAAAACGTCTGGTTCGGAAGAAACTTCAGGAAAAACATGAAGTTTCTCCGAAACCAAAGCCGCTTCAACCTTGAGGATTTTTGCGTTGAGTACGGCAAGGTTTCTGTTATCGAACGTGAAAGTTTCGAATCAGGTCCATTATCAGGGATTTTTTTACGTTTTTTTCCAAAATGGTGAGGTTTAGCTCCAGACCACTCTGCAGAAAAATTAATTTATCCCAAGCCAGAGGTGCTTGGACTCTGCGGATTCTTATTTTAAATGGGCCAAAGTTTCTGTTATTGATCGTGAAAGTTTCGAATCCGGCCCATAATCAGAAATTTTTAAAAATTCTTCAAAATTTCCCAGTGAGATTTTGTAATGTTTCTGCATAAAAATTGATGTCTCAGACGCCGAAGGTGTTTGGATATACTTTTTTCAAAATCAGCCCATTTGCATATTTGGGATTTTGCCCAAATTAAGCAAAGGCTGCCCATCGGAAATCGGAAAGTTTTCAAACATATTCATCGATCAGGCGAATTTTCAAAATGCATACAGTTTTTAAGTGAGATTTAATAAACTTTCTACAAAAAAAATAATTTCACTGAAACCAAGACTCCGAATTGTTGCGTTAAACAGGCGGAATCATCCGCTACGGAATCTCAAAGTCTCGAAATTCACTCATCATCAGATATTTTTTGACATTCTTGCAAAATTTCACAGTGATATTGCGTTAACTTTATACAAAAAATTGATTTCTCCCAAGCAAAAGCCGTCAAGACTTTCAGGAATATTGCTTAAATTATGTCAATATTTATGTTATTAAAGCTGAAAGTTTCGAAACCGGCTCATCATCAGGACATGGTTGCCGTTTTTTCAAATTCGATCACGTTTCTAACAAATGTTTGAATAACATTCTGAATAGAAATGAAGTTCTTTAAAATCTAGCCTCTTGCGCATTTGACAAGCAAAGGTTGCCGATCTAAACCCGGAAAGTTTTAAAACGGATTCATCATCAGGCAAATTTTAGTATTTTGCGAAATTTACATGCTTCCAAGTGAGGTTTAGTTGACTTTCTACACAAATAATTATCTCGCTGAAACAAAGACGGGTTTCTTGTGAATACCTCAGGATTTTTGCGTTACATATTTGAGAATTTGAAAGTTTCGAACGCTGCTCATAGTCAAAAAATTTTTGACAGTTCTTCAAAATTTTTAAGTGAGATTTAGTTGAAAACTTTCTACATGGAAGTTAATTTCTCCGAAGCCAAAGTCGCAACAAACTTCCGAATTTTTACGTTCAATAAGGAAAAGTATCTGTAATGGGACGTGAAAGTTTCGAATCCGACCCATCATCAGCGATTTTTTTACAATTTTCCAAAAATAATTTCGCCGAAGCAAAATCTGCTGGGAGTCTGAGAATGTTTGTTTTAAATTGGCCATATTTTCTATTATCAAATGTGGAAGTTTTGAAACGGGTTCACCATCAGGAAATGTTGTTGAATCTGACAGTTTTGAAAATCGCCCATCCTCAGGAAATTTTTGACATTTTTTTGGAAATGTTTAGTGATGTTTAGTTAAAATCCTACATAAGCATTAGTTTCGCAGAAACCAAGAAAGTTTTAACTCTCGGGATTGTGGTTTTAAATACCCTAAGTTTACTGTTATTTAAACTGAACGTTTCGAAAGCATCCCATCATCAGAKAATTTTTCACAGTTATTCAAAATTTGYAAGTGAGATTTAGTTGAAAAYTTTCTACATGGAAGTTAATTTCTCCGAAGCCAAAGTCGCTTCAAACTTCGGAATTTTTACGTTCAATAAGGAAAGGTATCTGTTACGGGACGTGAAAGTTTCGAATCCGGCCCATCATCAGCGGTTTTTTTACAATTTTCCAAAAATAATTTCGCCGAAGCAAAATCTTCTGGGAGTGTGAGAATGTTCGTTTTAAATTGGCCATAGTTTCTATTATCAAATGTGAAAGTTTTGAAACCGGTTTACCATCAGGAAATGTTGAATCTGAACGTTTTCAAAATCGCCCATCCTCAGGAAATTTTCGACATTTTTTTGAAAATTTTTAGTGATGTTTAGTTAACATCCTACATAAGCATTAGTTTGGCAGAAACCAAGAAAGTTTTAACTCTCGGGGTTGTGGTTTTAAATACCCTACGTTTACTGTTATCCAAAATGAACGTTTCGAAAGCAGCAGGATTTTTTTGAAAATTTTGCGAAATCGATCAGATTCCAACGTTATGTTTGCATAAACTTCCAATCTATTTAACACTTTTGAATTTTATAAAAAACGAGCGCCAGGAGGATTTGTACAAACTAAACAACTTTCAAACCAGATTTATAGCAGTCTTTGAAGTTTTGACCTAATAATTCATTAAAATTTGGGTTTGTTTTGAAAAACCTCTGTTTCGTTTTATAAATACTTGTTTCCCTCTTCAGTTTGGGTGAACATTTGGATAAACGAATATTGAATGAAAAATGTTTGCTCAAAACTGTTAAATTCCAATTTTACAATTATTATCCTCGCCGGTTCCCATTTCTCATTTTTCCCCAAGATCACGGAATTTATAAGCTGCCAGGGCTAATTTTAAATTAAAAATGGAATAAAGGCCTCGCCAGCACATAATGGATTAGCCATGAAATTAAATTCGGATCTGGAATCGATTCCAGTCGGTTTAAGCAGCGACATTGTACTTAGCTGGGGAACTATTCAACCATACACAGGGTTGAAAAGGCAGGCAGAAAAATATTGAGCCGGATTTCACTTGGAAATTTTTTTCCGATAATTCGTGACGCTTCCAATGGAAATGGAAACGACTTTCAACTGGAAAACACCGGAGTCGGAGCTCTTTACCGCAAGAGTTTTGCTAGCGCAGGCAACTTTTACGGCCATTAATTTTCCTGAATTAATTAAGCCTTAATCAGCAACATAAAAATTTTGAACCGTTGAAGTTTCTTGAGATATAAACGTGAAGTTGGCTGTGGCAAAGTTTTCCCATCCGTTTAATTAAAGGTCGCACAGGGTTAAAGTTGGCGAATTTAGTTGCAGGATTTTTCGTGAATATTAACCGTAAAAGAAACGTTGTTTCAGTAGTCGCATGGGGTGGATTGTCGGGCAGCGGTTCCGATCTTCAGGGGCCACTTTTCACCATCGAACCTGCTCATCGAGTGGAATTTGGGGCCGCCACTGGAGGCAGGGTGGACTGCACTGGCCATGGAAGTCCCCCACCCGATATCGAATGGATGCTGCCCGATGGAACAGCCGTTCAACAGGTAAAATCCTTCGAAAATTTGCTTAAAATCTCATAAGTGTCAAAGTTTTATTGACACCCTCGTATATGAAATGTAGTCGACCAGATGAGTTAATCTGGTCGACAATGAGCCAGCCAAAGAGCGGGGAGTTTTGGCGTTACATCGGCTAATAATACAGGGAGTAGACGGGAAGCTTTCGAAACAGATCATGAAAGTTTTGGCAATTTTACAAAACTGCTTTAAAAAACAGTCTGCACTTAACGTAATGAGACCAGGAAATGTTTGGGAAATTTGCAGAATTGATTGTTTCTTTACAAGTTATCAATAACCTTCCACATAAAATTGTATGGTCTCGAAACCAAGATAGCCAGAACATTTGAAAATTCTGGGTCAAATAGACTAAGGTGCTCTTTAAGAGACTTGAAAGTTTCAATCCCAGATCATCATCAGAACATTTTCTGAAGATTTTGCCAAATTAATGGGCTTTTTAAGACAATTTCATTCAGGACCTTTTTAATGCAAATGAATTGCCTCGACAGCAGGCATTGGAGGATCTGACAGATTTTACACACAATAGGCAACTATTGCGACTGCAAATAATGAAAGTTTCGAAAACCAGCCGTCATCGGGCACGCATTTCTGAAATGGAAGTTTATAGATGAGCCCTAATTATCTCTGCACGGAGAAAATGTTTTCGCCGAACTCAAAACAGCTACAGCTTAGGCCAAGATCGCTGATGAAATCTGAAAGTTTCGAAACCTGCCCATCTTTCTCTGGAAATCTTTCAAACATGTAGGTACGGAACGCTACATAAAGAGCTAGAAAATTCCGCACTTTTTCATTAAATACATATACCAAGAATGCTGTTTCAAAATCTGAAAGTTTCAATCCTAGTCCATCATCAGGGAATTTTTGAGGAATTCTTTAAATTCCAAAAATCATTAAAATAAATTTTGTTTGTTAAACAGTGTGATTATTTTAATAGCTGTTTAACTAGGGAGGTAAATGAACATCTCCAAAGCAGGGTAAAGAGCAATAAACCGCAGGACTTAGTAGAAAATCAGAAAGATCCACATAAAAATGTTCAGTTTTATGGCTCTTTTCCCCCTTTGGAGTTAGAGGCGTGTCTGTTTTTCTCACATTGATTAGGTTGGAACGCTGGACGTGTTCTCAAATTTCCAAAAGGCGAATAACAAGAAACCTCATTAACAACTTCGGAATTGAGCTTACACATGCCTGGCAACGAACTTTCACATAAAGCACATTAGAGCGCGAACTTTTCCACTTTTTTCTCCCCGTTGAGCGACTTCCATTTGGCCCACTTTAAATAGGTTCCACCAGCCCAGTTCACCTAATTTGATTGAAGCCAAGTGATGTTTTCCATTGGGAGAGCGCTAACTAATGTTTCGCTGCGATTATTATTTTATTACTGTTGCCAAATCCATGCTTATTAAATGGCGGAATTTCGCCCGATAACTGAGAGATTTTTCTGAAAGATGCCTCGAGGCAATTTAAATTTCAACTCCCCAAAGAAATTCGCTATAATGGAAATTCGAAAGTTATTTATGCGGAATGCTGATAAGCTAAGTTTTCACCGTTAACATGTTATGGCATACGGAAAGTTTCCAATGGCGCATCCAGATTTCGCTCAGCGGGTTCCCGATGCTTCTGAGGACTCGAAATTGGGGCGAATTTGAAATGTAATTAATTATTTACTGGGGAAATTTCTACAAGAAATACGATAAGTTTCACTCAGTATTCAGTGCCTCCAGTGGTTGATGGTGCGCTTATATTTGCAAAGTTTAGGCAGTTATTTTCAAAAAAATTGCAAATTTCGTGGAGTGGACTTAAGTCTCAACATGGACCTGCCGCTGTTTAGAACGTTAATTTTTTTTGTTGTTCTTTGCGTTGTTGAAGGCTGTGTTAATCCCATTTGGAAACTTAAAAAATCACCAAAAATGGTAAGATAGACTGAAGAAATCCGTAACTGAAAAATGAAAAATCCATGCCGATTTCGCTCTGCTTCGTTTTACTTGAGCATCAAAAAATCTACCAGTTCTCAGATTTTCAAGTTGACTTCAAGTTTACATGATTTTTGCCACGACTTTAAAATTTGGCTCATTTAACAACTGCAAAATACGCACGATCTTCTTTAAACAATCGCAACTTCAAAACGGGAAGCATCAAGGAAATTTTCTTTACTTCGTCTTATAGAGCGCGAAGGACCCTACTAGCGCTGAAAAATTCATATTGAATCCGAATTTCCCCAATTTTCGCCGATACTTTGAAACTTGGCTAATTTCATGTCGGCTATACCCAGACGACTTTCTTTTAAAAAATCGCAACTCCAAAACAGAAAGTTTTAAGACATTAACCGTTACTACATTTTATAGAACGGAGTAGAGCCTACCAAATGCGAAACTTTCAAAAATGTTGAAGTTCAGATTTATTTTTTTCTGAGATGTTAAGCTTCCTTAAGTTTACGCCGGCATAACAAACACCATCTCGCATTTAGCAATGTTTTTCGGGCTTTGAAGCCGTGGTCCATGGGAATTTCTTCCGAAAAATGAAGAAATTCCCATGGACAAGTGTCTCAACGCAGTCTCAAGAAACAGTGTTTTCTTTATTTCAAACTGATGATCGAAAACTCCATCAATTTACGTATAGTCTCTTACGTACAATGTGTTACGAGAATGGTCGTTTTCGGTCAATGGTTTATGAAAAAAATCACTGTTTATTTACACGCTAACTGTTTGCCCCCGCAACCTAAGAAATCTAGCGGAAACATTGGTCGAAGCAAAGGTTTTTTTTGTGCAAACCGTTTATCAATCTCGAATTATCCTATACATAAATTTCATAGATATCAAGATTTGCGAAAAAACGTTTAAGGGGAAAATAATTTTGGGTATGAACAGTGTTTTTCTTGAAGGAAAACGTTGTTTTTCTCGGCAAACTGTCGACCGAAAAGATCACCATCCTCGAAACATATTATACGTAAGACACTATACATGAGTTGGTGGAGTTTTCGATCATCAGTTTGCAATAAAGAAAACGCAGGTTTTCCTAGAGCCAACTTTTCGGCTATTTTTCCCAACCCGCATGCTAAAAAGTCAAGTCGAAACGTTGGCCCCAAGAAAACATAGTTTTCTTTATTGCAAACCGTTGATCGAAAACTCCACTAACTCATGTATAGTCCCTTACGCACAATGCGTTACGAGAATGGTGGTGTTTTCAATTAATGGTTGGATTTCGATTTAAAATTTCTGAACTCATGCAGTCTTCAGTACTCAATGAACTGAAGAATGAAGAAATTCCCATGGACCACGGCTTCAAAGCCGGAAAAACGTTTGTAAATGTGATTTGACCGGCCGTGTAAGCCTTGACAGTCTGATAAACACCATCTCGTTTAAAAAGCAGTATTTTCGAAAAAAAGAGCTTCAAATTTGTTTCTCTCTTTGATAGAAGACAAAACAGACCACAAGCTCGGAAATTCTCATTCCCAACCCGAATCTTCTCAATTTTTGCCGTGACTGAAAGTTGATTACAGTTTTTCTCGAAACTTTTCTCGTCATGGTTTTATTTGAAAAACGCCAGCTCAAAAAGGAAAGTTTTGACTCATTTATTTGTAGATAAGTTTTATGGAGCATAAATGGATTTATTGATCCAAAGAATTACAATTAAAATCCAAAATTCTTTAATATTTACGGAAATTTGAATCACACCTCATTTTTGTGGTTTTCTTTAAAAAATCGTAACTGGAAAGTGAAAAACTCTAGACAATTGGTTTTGAGGAAGTGTGATAGAGCGTAGCGCGTAGAAGAGTCTATGGGTTCACAAATGTTGGCAAAACGCGCACGGTTTCTTTTACAAATGTGTAACTTCAAAACAGTAAACCGTGCAGGATTATCCGTTACAGGGTTTCATAGAGCATACACCGCCCCATGAGATCAGAAATCAATTGAAACCGACAATTTCCTGCTTTTTACCGAAACTTTGATATTTAGGTCATTTTAGAAATATTTAGTGGGTCTACGGGACAAACACGGTTTTTCTTCTTTTAAATCGTAACTCAATACGGAAACCTCCTCAAATATATGCTTAATGCAGTTTTGTGGAGTAGAAAAGACTCGATTTCGCAGTTAAATAGCAAAATTTTCTAATTTTTAGAGAAACTTTGAAACTGACCACTTTTTACCATCAGCAAAACACTCTCGATTTCCTTTAAGCATCCGCAACTGGAAATTGAAAATTGTTCAAAATTGCGCGGTCTGCAGTTTCATTGAGAAAATTTCTGAACTGATGCAGTCTTCAGTAGACTGCATGAGTTCAGAAATTTTAAATAGAAATCCAACCATTAATTGAAAACACCACCATTCTCGTAACGCATTGTACGTAAGAGACTATACATGAGTTAGTGGAGTTTTCGATCATCGGTTTGCAATAAAGAAAACAATGTTTTTCTTGTGGCCAACGTTTCGACTTGACTTTAAGCATGCGGATGGGGAAAAATAGCTCTTGGTTGTTGGCTGTTGAAAGTTGGCTCTAGGAAAAGCTGCAAACAGTTAGCGTGTAAAAAATAATGACTTTTTTCATAAACCATTGACCGAAAACACGATCTTTCTCGTAACACATTGTACGTAAGAGACTATACGTAAATTGATGGAGTTTTCGATAATCAGTTTGAAATAAAGAAAACGCTGTTTCTTGAGTGCGTTTTTTTTCGCAACCCGAGGATCCCAAACTCTTCTAACGAATGTATAGTCTCTTGCATATAATGTGTTCCGAGAATGGTGATCTTTTCGGTCGACGGTTTGCCGGAAAACACAATGTTTTTCTTCAAGAAAAAAACAGTGTTCATAGGAAAAATTAATTTGCTATTTTCTTAAAAAAACCGTAAATGGGAAGTAAAAGCGTTTCATTTAGCACAAAATGTTCTACCGATTCAGAAAATGTACAATTAAATCCCAAAATTCCTCAATTTTTACCGTAACTTTGAAACCCGGAGCATTTTGGACCGTCTTACAAGGTCCGAAAATCTTATTTTAAATTTGGGTTTTATCAAATTTTTTTGAAACTTTGAAACACGCAACTAATGGAAAGTTTTTTTTCAGATATCCGACCTGCGTCTGATCTTCCCAAACGGTTCCCTGATCTTTCCCCCTTTTCCCAATGATCGGTACCGGCATGACGTGCACACTGCCATCTACCGATGCAAACTGAAAAGCATTTTGGGCGCAGTCCTAAGTCGCGAAGTGCATGTCAAAGCAGGTAAGACAAAGCATTTTCTTCTTGATATAGTCAGTCAGCCCGATCGAAGGACTTTCAATTGGTTTTATGACACGAAGTTTTCCAAAAGTGCTTTAAAGTTTTACGGCTGCAGCCAAGTGAAGGCGACTTTAGACTTTTGAGCTGTAAAACCTGCGATTTTTACGACTTTTTCGACGGGTTAATAAAACATTGGGCAGAATCTGCAATAAGAAGCCATTGGAGCCTATCGGGCTTTTAAAATGAGATTTTTTCCACGGCATCCTGAATTTCTTGTGCCGCCGCTAATGAAGTCGCCGGCTTAACTATGCTGGAAAAGAAGCATTTTCCGACATTGACAAAGGTTGGAAATTACTTGTAATGTCGCTGAGGGCGCAAAATTGAGGCTGGCAATGTCAGAAAAATTACCGCGCGTTAAAAGAGGCCCTAATAATGAAACGTGGTAATACATTTTTGACGTAAGCAAATTGATCAACATCCGTCTCTACTGGGGGCCGGATTATCCTCGACGGAAAATGGAAATACATTTTTATTAAATGCCGCAGGCAAATTTCGCTTTTATTAAAAGAGATTTGTGTCGGTGTGTCTTCAAAATGGCAAAATTTAGTGAAGAGAAAAAGAGCAAAGTGGGTCTACAGCAGGTAAAAATAGAGCAGGGAAACAATCCCGGCAGCAGAAATGCCGCCTCTGTGCCTCATGCGAACGTATGGGAAGCTTTCCCTAGGGAACAGCGCACTTTGGCTGTCTCTTTAAAGTGCCGACAATTCCTTGCAACTTACCAATACGCCAAATTGCCCGATAAAGTGCCAACTTTTCACGTTCTCCTTTCGGAAAAGCCGCTGGGTTCATTGGTTTGGGAAAATTGAACTCTCCGATCCCCCATTCTCGCAGATTGAATGTTTGGTTATTAATCTGCACTTTCATTGGTGATTAATTATCAGCCAGTAATTATTCTTCTGGCGCCAGTGGCTTTCCGATGGAAATGGCAAGTTGAGCACGTTTTCTGAGCAACATGTCGTTACCGTTGATTTGATGGGCGATGTTTTGAGCCAAACGCCGCAATTTCGTCAAAAGTAGTTTCTTATGGTAGCCGGCAGATAAACGAGGCTATTTATAAAGGTTTAGAACTTGCTAGGAGGGAGTTTGCTCCAGCGCGGGAAATTTATCGGCCAGGGGCGCGGAATTTAGGAGCTTTCCGTGCTTATGCGTTTTGCTGTTTTATCGCTCAGAAGGCAGCCGGTACAAAATATGCCCTGTTTCTCAGAATAAACCAGTGACTTTTGATGTAGGCATTGCTTGGGTGGATAGTCCAAAGATTTCGTCAAAAATCCCTAATTCAAAAACAAAAATTCGTAGAAAAATTCGCTGTGCTTCATTTCATTAAGCACTAAAGAATCTTCCAGTTCTCACATTTTTACTTTGAATGCGAATTTCTCCAATTTTTGAGAAGACTTTGAAACGTGGCTTGAAAAGTGTATAATACCCTCGATCCCTTTTTGAAGCATAACTTCAAGAGGGGACGTACCGAGGACGTTTTTTTGCCTCCGTCTGATTGGCGCTGACAAATTAATAAATATTTTTCTATAAAATGGTATTTCATTTACACAGTGATCAAGCAGAAGTACGACATCCAGGTGCATGACGAGTACGTGATTGCCGGCAATACGGCAGTTTTAAAGTGCAAAATCCCGAACTATGTGTCGGACTATGTGATGGTGACATCGTGGATTCAGGACGACAACATCAACATCTACCCCAACACCGACATTGGGGGAAAATACGTGGTCCTGGGCAATGGCGATCTGTATATTAGCAATGCCGGCCCTGGTGATGGATACAAGAATTACGCGTGTCGCACGTTGCATCGACTTACAGGTAGGTAACGATTACATTTCATCGTGGCCACTATTGTTCTTCAAGAAAAACTGCTGTTTTTTTCCGAGATTTGTTGACCGAAAACATCACCATTCTTGTAACACATTATCTGTAACAGACTGTACATGAGTTGGTGGAGTTTTCGACCTTCGGCTTACGGAAAAACCGGTGTTCTTTTTACGCGACTTAAGAATAATAATTCTTGAAAGGTAAAAAAAACTATATTTTTATTAATACAAAGTTCTAGACAATACTTGATTAACTCTGAATTTAAACTCTGACTGGAATACAAAATGGTTGGTCAATGGTTTATATAATTTATTAGTGTTGAATCGGCACACACGTGGACTAGCGGTTGGTCAGCATTATTGTTATACGAGGTGGCCCATAACTCGTGCCATTTTTTTGCACAGTTTTTTTGTTAGAGCCAACTTTTCGATGCTAAAAAGTCGAGTCGAAACCTTGGTCCCTAAAAAAAAGAGTATTTGCTTTATTGCAAACCGATGATCGAAAACTCCACCAACTCATGTATAGTGTCTTTCGTACAATGTGTCACTAGAATGGTGGTGTTTTCAGACAATGGTTTATGAAAAAAGCACTGTCTTTTTACACGCGAGCTGTTTATCCCCACCGTTTATCGAGCTGAAACGAGAGAACATTGGCTGAAACATTGGTCGAAGAAAAACTATTTTTTGTCTACGCAGACTAGAATATCGAGCTGAAACACTGGTGCAAGAAAAACAGTGTTTTGACCGTTGACCCAAACGTCGCCATTCTTGAACTCTCCTTACATAAGTTTCATAGGTATAACGTTTTGCGGAAAAACGTTTAGAGGAAAAATAATTCTGGCTACGAACACTGTCGTTCTTGCAGAAAAACGTTGTTTTTTTCCGGCAAACTGTCGACCGAAAAGATCATCATTCTCGAAACACATTATACGTAGGATGGTATGAGTTGATAGAGTTTTCTGTCATCGGTTTGCGAAAAAAACCCAGTCTCATAAAAAACAGTATTTTCTTTTTTCAAACTGATGATCGAAAACTCCATCAACCTATGTATAGTCTCTTAAGTACAATGTGTTACGAGAACGGTAGTGTTATCGGTCAATAATTTATGGAAAAAAATCACTGTTTTTTGTACGCTAACTGTTTATCCCCGCAGTATAAAAATTCGAGCTGAAACATTGTCCAAAGAAAAACTTTTTTTTTGCGCAAACCGTTCACCGAAAACCCCGTCATTCTCGAATTATTCTTTACATAAGTTTGATAGGAATAATGATTTGCTAAAAAACGTTTGGAGCAAAAGAATTCTGGCTACGAACACTGTCTTTCCTGAAGAAAAACATTGGTTTTTCTTCGTCAAACTGTCGACCGAAAAGATCGCTATTCTCGAAACACATTATACGTAAGACACTATACATGATTTGGTGAAGTTTTCGCTCATAGGTTTACAAAAAACGCGGTTTCATGAAACACAGTGTTTTTTTTTCAAACTGATGATCGAAAACTCCATCAACGTATGTATAGCCTCTTAAGTACAATGTGTTACGAGAGTGGTGGTGTTGTCGATCAATGATTTATGGAAAAAATCACTGTTTTTAGCAGGCTAACGGTTTAACCCCGCAGTTTAAAAAAAATTTGCTGAACCATTGGCCGAAGAAAAACTGCTTATTTTTCGCGCAAGCCAGTTATATGACCACTTATGAAGACCACTATATATTTTAAGGGATAAATGTCGATGCTGCATTATTACGCTATATAAGCTGCGCATTCGACATAGTAAAATTAGTCTTAAGTTAGTAGGACATGGTGTAATATCTCGCTGTCGTAAAACACATTTTTGGTTCGTAATAAAAGTTTTTTACATCCAGAAACAAAATTAGCCGTTGACTGAATCCCCATCATTCTCGAACTATTCTATACATAAGATTCATACGTATAAAGGTTTGCGAAAAAAACGTGTGGAGGAAAAATAATTTTGGCTATGAACACTTTCTTCCTTGAAGAAAAACATTGTCTTTTTTTCGGAAAACCGTCGACCAAAAACATCACCATTCTCGGAACACATTATAAATCAGAGACTGTACATCAGTTGGTGGAGTTTTTGATCAAATGTTTGCGAAAAAAAACGCTGTTTTTCTTAGAGCCAACTTTTCGGCTATTTTGTGGCCCAGCATGCTAAAAAATAAAGCCGAAAAACGAAACACTGTTTTTCTTCATGACAAAACATGTTTTTTCTGGCAAACCCTTGATGGAAAATATCACCATTCTCATAACGCTTTGTACGTAAGAGACTATACATACGCTAATGGAGTTTTCGATCATCAGTTTGCAATAAGGAAAACTCAGCTTTTCCCAGAGCCCAGCTTTTCGGCTGTTTTTCCACACCCGCATGCTAAAAAGTCAAGTCGAAACGCTGGCCCCAGGAAAAACATTGTTTTCTTTATTGCAAACCGGTGATCGAAAACTCCACGCACTGATGTATAGTATCTTACGTACAATGCGTTACGAGATTGCTGGTGTTTTCGGTCAAGGGTTTGAGGAACAATCCACTGCTTTTGACGAGAAACCCCACCAATCATGAGAAGATGACCCACCACAAGATGAGTCTAATCTTGTAAATGAGTTTCGCGAGAAAACGTTTGGAAGGAAATGACATTTTAGCTGTATCTATTATCCCTGATGGCCTAAAAGGCCGTTCTTCGTCCCCTTTTTGGTGTTTTCTTACACATTCTAGGCTGAGGATTTAATAACTCCAGCAAATTTCATACTAATCAGGTTGGATTGAATGCCGAAATAAGCCAGGAAAGTTGTGTAATGCCAGAAGCACGTTTTCCAGAAAAGCTAAAAAATGATTTTCCAAACTAGGACTTTTCCTGTTAACTTCCGCGGCTGAGATGGCTGGTTAAATCATGCAAAACTCCTTAAAAGTCTAACGAACTTCCGAAACTCTTATCCACTTGAGGCAACTTTTAGTTGGCCAACTTTCTAGCAGTTGCGCAAAGATTTATCTATTCAATCTAAGTTGGAACACTCCCGCTTGGAGGCCCTTAATTAAATCATGCTTGGATCATCAATTAATCAATCAATCAGTCAATCGACGGTCCAGCTTGGGTCCAGATTGAAAACACTAAAGCGCTAGAGTAATTATTGCAACAGAACAGTTTTCTGCAGCTGACGCTCCATTAAACCGCCGGCAACTTTGCACAAAGTGAAACTGTTTATCTTGCACACCGTAGCGGCGAACGAAACTTTAAATTCAGCTCGGAGTTGTGTTTATCTTGTTTCAGGTGCATTCGGGGGCCTAAAAGAACATCCCCTGCCTCCATCAGTTAAGGGCAGTTGAGACACGCGAAAATTAGTCTTATTTTCCGATTCCAACAATAAAATCCGGATTTTATGAAGGAATTGGAATTAATGGCCGCAAAAGCCAACCGGGAGCATTACGGGAAACTTTGCTGACTGTGCAAAAGTTGAGTTTTCCGGCAGATTTATGACGCGAATGCATCTTTTCCAGTCGCTTTCCAACGTTCCTCTACTGTTTCTTAAGCCAAAATTTGCATATTTTTATCGGCTTCCGTTTGGCGACTTTCAATCTGGTTGGTCAGTTTTCACGTATGGTTCTGATGATGGCCCACAAAAGAAACCTTTGCGGGTTTTAAGGAAGTGTCTTCTGGTTTTCAAAATCCACCTCAGTTCTGTTAACTGGAATTAAGGCTTTTAAGGCGAGTGATTTCACTCGTTTAAGTTTCACTGAAAAAAGAAAGTTTGCGGCAACCCCTGATAGTGGAACCGAAACTAAACTTTTCCCGTTTTTAAAGGCTTAAAGAGCAGCACTGCAGAGCTGAAACAAAATGGGGCCAGCCTTCCTCGACTAATAAGCGAACTTCTGCTCAAAACACGATCGCGTTCAGTTGAATTTTCTGATGCCCAACCATTCCATCCGAAAGTTCTCCGATCTCATTTGTGCAGATTAAAGTTGTTGCTTAATCAGACTAGTCAAGTTAGATCACGTAATTGACTAATTGCGCGCACGGCCCAAACAGCAAATGAATGTGGCAAAACTGGTCTCGACTTGATTAACTAAGACATGGGTTATTGATTCGCCTCCATTGTTTCAGCTCGAGCCAGTAATTACGAAAATGTGTGGCGCAGCTCAACCGACCGACTTAATTCCATTAATGGATAATCGCGTTATTGCTGTTTAAATTTAATCACAGCCGGTGCGCAATCTTAAACTTGTTTACCGTTGAGTTTCGGGGGAGATTTTCCGGATTTTGACGCCGCACACAACGATTTGAGCTGATTTGAAGGCTAAACAGCCGGATGATGGCAGCAAATTTGCTGGATTGTGTGCAATTTGACCCAAAAATCCTAACCTCTAAAAAGATAGCAGCTAAACTGTTCACATTTATTGGAAGCTTAAAGCTCCTATGGGGCATAAGGACCATTTCGACTGGGTGCTTCAAGGGTTATCATTTACTTTATTGGGTTAAGGCCAAATTTCTAACCTCCAAAGAGAGAGAGGGAGACAAAAATTAGAACATGTTTGTACATATTCACATTTATCTGGCCAACGGTTGAATTAGGCCTGGGTAACACTGTGTTGAGTTGCGCTTTTGAGTTGTTGTCGCTCTCTGAGTTTTAGCGCATTGGTTAATGAGTTATAACTCATGACCGGTGGCGGAATTTTAGCATCTAACAGAAAAAAGCCATCAACTATTGCTTTTGCGCATACGATTGCTTCAAACTATTTGGTTTAAAACGGGAAAATCCGAAAATTTTGAAAAAACTTTAAACTTTCAGAGCGATGAGGGTGACGAGTTTTCCAAATATTGATTATATGCTTTTGCTTTATCTGGTCGTTTTTTGAAAAAATCTAAATTTTGTGGAAAAGAAAATAAGATAACTTTGTTTCGATTTTGTCCCAAATTCAAAGGTAAAATGGTTATTCGAAAAAGACGATAAAGAAGACCAAACTGTAAAGACGACGATTTTTCTTGTAAAATCCATCTTTTAACTTTTTTGCGTAAAAGCTATCAGTTTGCCAGAATTTCACAGTAAAACGTTAGGAAAAAACGCGTTGTTTTGTTTCGAGAGAGTTTTGTTTAGAAAAATTGACCTAAAAATGAAGAAACTGGAATTTAAATAAACCAAATTATTCACAGCGACAAAAGTGACGAGTTTTCCGAATAATTGATTCTAAACTTTCACTTGTTCTGTTCGGGGAAATATTTTTGGAAAAAAATCCAGAAAAAACTATTAGGGTTTTGTCAAAATTCGAAGCTGCAAAAGGTCCCAGAAAAAAATTTACAAAGTTGTTCAGGAGCCAGGTGTTCCAATAAAATGTATTTTATAATTTCCACAGAAAGTACCTGAAGATGGTCAGTATTTTAAGCAAAAATTATATGTTTTTATGCGTAGAATGAATTGCTTAATAGAATCTTTGCTAAAACTGGAATGACCTGAAATTTTAAAGAAACTTGGAAACTCTTCGGAGCCATGAGGGCGGCGAATTTTCCAAATAATTTTTTGGAAACTTCTGTTCTGGCCGTTAAAATAATCTTATTACTTTCAGTAAAAAACTGAATAACATTATTTGGTTTTTGTGTCAAATTCGAAGCGAAAAGGGTTTTTTAAACGCGAATTTTCTGACGAAATTAATTTTGTTATTTTTGGCTGAAAAGACACCATTATTTGCAGAAAAGAAGAATATCATCAGAAACTAATGTTTTTTTGCGTTTTTTTATTAAAAACTTTTAGTTTTGTAATCGGTTTTTGAGAAAATCTTAATGATTTTTGGGAGGAAACGAGAGAAATTTATTTTCGTTGTTGTCCCGAATTCGACACTGAAAAAAGTTTTCGTAAAATTCCTACAAAGCTATAGATTTATTCTCCGATTTTAATAAAATTTATTTCATAATTTTTCGCGAAAAACACCTTAAGATTATCAGTAGTTTTAAGTGAATCTTGAGCATTTTGAAAAAAGAGTAACTTTTCTAAAACTGGAAAATTCTGAAAGTTTGAAGAAATGTTAAAAATATTATTGATAAATGGGCCTTAAAATCATGTTCCGTTCCGGTTCCGGTTTCGAAAATAATTTCCAATTCGGTTCCGTTCCGGTTTCGGTTTTTTTTTTCGGTTTATCTCGTTTCCAAAATCTATATATAACAACGAACGAGGACAAAGATACTCTAATTAGGAATCTCAATAACTTTTTCCTTGTTTGTTGTATTATACAAGATAAAAAATACGCAAACTATCCACTGCTTTATACGGTACTTCGGCTGGTTATATGGTAGGGGGTAGGAATGTAGAAGGGTAGAAGGACTAGCAACCCCGCACAAGGATTTAAATTCAGGTAACATTAAATGAAACAACATTGCAATAAAGACTCCCATACAAAAATTAATTTAATCGTTGTATTTTTGAAAAGTAATTTGTCAATGAATTTTCTGACTTTTGCGCTTTTCTTTTCTTTCCGTTTTCACTCAGGTCCACAACTTCGTCAATTCCTCTTCTTTCACTCTTATTTCCGTTTAAACATTTTTCTTCCTGGTTCATGTCGTCACCATCGTTTGAGGAGTTGCTTTTGTCCAACATTTCAATTTCCAATGTTTCTTTGCTGGTGATCGAAAAACTAAACTAATTCAACTTAAAAAAGAATTAAAAAAATAGTGTATAAACGTACGGTGTTTGTTCCTTTCGATTGAAAAGTCGGTTGGTCCTCATAAATAATTGTTCCTCTAAAATTTTTTCGTTAATATTTCACCTTGAAGGCGGCAACAAAAATTTGAGTCCTGAGAATAACCTCTCACCACTAACTTGAGTTGCCGGTACGCTTAATAATACTTGAGCAAGCATGTATAACTCGGGATTAAGCTCTTTCTTTTTCTTCCAGAAATCAAAAATCGTTTCATTTTTCCGTAAACGTATGCGGCTTCGTTCCACTTTATAGGAATTTAAAATATTTTCAATTTTGTTAAGGGCTACAAATGAACCTTGTGAAGAAAATTCGTGCTGATTAATTCCTTTTAAAAATTTTTGCTGTGAATCTTTATGTCTCAAAAATACTTCCATTTCATCACTTGATGAATTAGATGATTCAGTTTCCATATCGTGTTGGTCAGAGTCATATTTAGAGTTAGACGAATTGCACTCTTTGAAGAATATCAGTCTAGTCTATAACGACTTTAAATGTGCTTTTGCTCTTTCTACTTGATTGTAGTCTAAAACTACCGAGGGTTCAGAAAAATCCCAGCAGGGATTATTTTTCATTTGCTTGTAAAATGTACAGTCATTTCTTTCAAACAGAACCGAAAAAACACCGAAAAAACCGAAATTAAATAATTCGGTTCCGGTTTAGCACCTGACAGTGTGTTAATATCAAATATGGGTTCCGTTACGGTTCCGGTCCAAAAAAAAAACGGTTCCGTTGCTTAAAATAAATCTAAAAACAAGTAAAAAAAGTCATCAACATTTTCTCAGCATCGAAACTGAGTTACTGCGCCGGTGCCTTGGATTGGCCCACCCAGACATTTGCGCAGCACTGCGCCAACTTCTAAAAATTCCTTGAGTTATTCCGGCCTATCGGAAAGTGTCTGATTTTGCGTTTTTTGTTAAAAACTTTTTGTTTTGTGATCGGTTTTTGAGAAAATCTTAATGATTTTCGGGAAAAAACGGGAGAAATTTATTTTCGTTTTTGACCCGAATTCGACGCAGAATGAAGTTTTGTAAAATTCCTACAAAGCTATAAATATGTCTTGTGATTTTTCGGGTAAAATACATCCAGATCGTCATAATTTTTAAGTAAAACTCTACGAAATAGAGCGTTTTTGAGTAGAAAACTAAAAAACTAATTTTTTTAAAGGAACTACCGTTTTCAGAGGAACGGAAGTGACAAGTTTTCCAAATACAGTAATGTCCGCTTATAATGAGCCCGGTTATAGTGAATTTTCGGTTAAAACGAACTTTTCTCTTTTAATTGAAACGTCATCCATAAAAGCCAACGTATTTTTTACTGGTTATAACGATCCCGTTTATAACGAACTTCCGGATATAACGCTCACTTTTTGGGTTAGTTGTATATTCACTTTCCGTTTATAACGAACTTCCACGCTCAACAACAGTTCAACAAACTCAGATGAAGATGTGCACAATTTTGTCGAAGAACAAGTTAAAACCAAATTGAGTGTTTTCGATTTCTTCGAATATGTGAACATTGATAATGGCATTCTTACAAGGGAAATGTTGGCCGATGAGCAAATAATAGACTCCGTAACCTCATCTACAGCTTTAAGCGATAATGAGGAAGATGACGATTTAGGTGAAACTGATTCTACTGTAGACACTAATGCTGTTCCAACCATTTCTGAAATGACAAAAAGGGCGTCCGAAACTCGGAATTTTCTACAATCACGCTAAGTTCCTAATGATATCTGGGAGTCATTTGATTGATCTTGAAAACTACATAAATAACATCTATTTTTGCAGCAGAAATGTACAAACAAAAATTGCAGACTTTATGAAGTACATTTCAAATTTCGTTCTGTTTATCTTTTTGTGTCCTTTTTTGCTATATCTACTAACTTCTACTACTCTATGTAATAATAACGAAATAAAATGCACCACGTGTTTTTGCATTATTATTCGCTTATAGCGAACTCCGGATATAACGAACCAGTTTTAGTTCATTTTTAAGTTCGTTATATCCGAGCTCAACTGTAATTTATTATAAAATTACGCTTATTCAGTTCGTTTTTTGATAGAAAATTCGTTGACTTTTGTCCCAAATTCGAAAACTTTTTACAAAGCGACGAAGGAAGCGAGTGTTCTAATAAAATGAATTTCATAATTTGTCGCAAAAAATACCTTAATATTGTCTGTATTTTTAAGTGAATCTTTAGAAAATTGAGCATTTAGAAAAAAGAGTAACTTTGCTAAAACTGGAAAATTCTGAAATTTTGAAGAAATGTTAAAAATATTATTGATAAAGGGCCCTTAAAATAAATCTAAAAACAAGTAAAAAAAGTCATCAACATTTTCCCAGCAACGAAACTGAGTTACTGCGCCGGTGCGTTCGGTTGGCGCACCAAGCTATTTGCGTGGCACTGCGCCCACTCCTAAAACTGCTTTGAGTTACCCAGGCCTAGGTTGAATAGATCTAAACAACCATATTAAGATTTTCAATTGAGAATCGGAAAGAATTTCAGAAGGTCTCTTGACAATTCGTTTAACGAGTTTGAAGCCGACTTTCAGATATCTTTGAATATTTTCACCATAATTTTAATCTAATTTAATTTGTGATATTGTTCCAGGCGAATTACAAACCTCAACCTATCCAGGACGGATAATCGTCACCGAGCCGAAGGGAAGCGTCCAGCCCCGGATAACCGTGGAAAAATTCAACGCAAAAAGAGTCATCCTGGGCGATGACGTCACTCTTCCTTGCGTGGCTCAAGGCCATCCTGTTCCTGGATACTACTGGAAAAGGGAGACGGACGGGCAAATGGGGCCAGTCCCATTGGGGGAACGTACCATCCTGCTCACCGCCGGACTATTGAGGATTTCCAAGGTCGGTATCCGGACTTTACAGGCCATTCCATATCCAGGCCGCATTTTCCCGAATTACCGCAACTAACTGACAATCAAGCTCATTTTCCATTAGGCAAATTGCGACTCCAAGTCGCGTCTACGCCCCTGCCAATGGGGCTACATAACTTTTAATAAAAAGTGTCACAAATGCGACACAACTCATTATTTTCCACCTCGGCGAACATTCGCATAAATCCCGCGTGAAAAATAACAATAATCCGAGCAGGCCTCCCATTTCGTCGACGAAATGGGGGATTTTAATTTTTCTAATTCCGCCCTGGGCGTTGAGGGAGCCGCCTGACTCCTTGGAGGTGGCTCCGGATTAATATGGCGAAAGCTCTCGGGCAACGTGCGATTGTTTGCAGGTGCGTCTGGAAGATCGCGGCATCTACGTGTGCTTTGCCAACAACTCGGCTGGGGAGGAGAGCGTGAGGGTCACTTTGGAGGTGACGTCGCCTCTCTCTGCCCACGTGCAGCCTCAAATGCTCGTTGTGGATGTGGGCAAGGATGCCAGCTTTCAATGTGTCGTCAATGGGTATCCGGTCGCCCAAATTGCCTGGATGCACAATGGTAAGCTCATGCTCATCAACTGAAGGTTGTTTGGAAGATTTGTTCTTCTCGCCATCATGAGRCACTTTACGACGAATTTTTAAACTTCTTAATTTCTGCGGCCGACTTTCGCAGTCTTCTGATCAATAAAAAATCCCTCGAAATGTGGAACGGTCGGTCTTCTGTCTGCTATTGCATTTTTTAGCGGAACATCTATTGTTTAAASACTGAAAGTTTCGATTTTTTGACATCTTCGACAATTCGGCTCAMGCAATGTTTCTTTTCTTTGAAACCKGAAAGTTTCGTCTCTTTGCCGGCATCACTTTCGCACACTTTGCAACGCATTTTTAAGCCTCGTCGGTTTCATCACTAGTGTGAAGCCTGAGAGTTTCGTTTTATTGCCATCACCAGAGCCTTTGCAGTTTGCAGCGCACTTTCCACCTCGCCAGATTTTTGCAGTYTTCTGTAAAAACAATAATTTCTAGCCATCTACAAAAGCCCCGCGGTCCAGCTGTTGAAAGTTCCGATCTGTTGCCATYCTCCGACACTTTACAGCTGATTTTAGATAAATTTCTCATAATTGCCTACGCGAAAATCGGTTTTCTCATCTAGAAGAAACTTCCCCTAAGAGTAAGGTCCAGATGAAGGATCATGAGAAATGGAAACTCGAAGGCTTCAAACACTCGAATCTCTCCTATTGACGGCAACAACGTGAAGAGCACTAAACACTTTTACGCTCAGCAGCAGCAGCAGTAGCAGGCAATCCATAACAAAATCCAGATTTCAATTCCCACCCGCGCCTGGTAACGGGAAATACGGCTTCGCATTGGCAGGWGCATTTAAATTTTCCGAATGTACATACATAGAGATAATTGGATGTATATGCTTCCAATGCGTCTGGAGCAGCAGGAATCGAATATTAATATCCGAATTTAATATATCGATATACGTCCGGACGGCTGGCGGCAATATTAGAGGCGATAATTCACACATAAATCCAGCCGGAAATACCTGGATGTGTTCCAGGAAAGCCGGTGGCGCCCGATAATCGAGTCGAAGTGCAGAGCGAGCCTCCAAGACTGACCGTGCGACAACTGACCAAAGATGACCGCGGCATGTATCAATGTTTCGCCAGCAATAACTGGGATCAGGCTCAGGCCACTGCCGAACTGGATATGGGCGATGCCGGCCCTGAACTCATCTACTGGTAAGTTCCTTGGTTTGCCATATTTTTTTCTAGCTAAGGCAACACTGTTGAAGGTTCGCCGAGCAAACCCTCCAACCAGGCCCGACGGTCTCCTTGAAATGCGTTGCCGCCGGCAACCCCCCACCACAATTCATGTGGGCATTGGACGGTTTTCCCATTCCCGACCACTCCCGGTTCCTGGTTGGTAAGTGTCGGCCCCGCCCACTCACACGCCCACCTCTAAACCACGCCCCCTCGCTCCGGTTTAGGCCAATACGTGACCGTCCAGGATGACGTGATCTCTCACGTCAATATCACCAATGTCAAAGCGGAAGATGGGGGCGAGTACTCATGCACGGCCCACAACAGTGTGGGCAAAGTGACGCACAGCGCACGCGTAAACGTCTACGGCCTGCCCTTCATCAGGGAAATGCCCAAAGTGATCGGAGTGGCCGGCACGTCACTGGTCATCAAGTGTCCAGTGGCGGGGTATCCCATTGAGACCATCACATGGGAGCGGGATGGGCAGAGTCTGCCCGTTAATGCGTAAGTTTGAGGTTTGAGGGGCACAATATAATATTAAGTAATATAACTACAAGTTAAGTAGTAATTTGACACTAGCTTTGTTGATATTGATCTTTACATCTGATTGTGATTTGTTTAGTTCTAATCAACTTTTGCAAGTTTCTAAAGAAATAGAAACAGATCGAAAGTGTGTAAGTGTTGTTTTATGCTATAAATGTCATCAACTTCATTAAATAAACAAGTCTGACAAGTCTCAACTGTCACTCAACGAGTGACATATCTTGAATATGAAACAAAATACAGCGTGGGTTTCTCAAAGTTTTATAATAAGGCTCCATCTCAGAAACGGTTTCGGATTCCAGGGGAACATGTTTTAACATGCGAACGTCTAATTACGGAAAGGTCTCCGTGCGCAGTTGCCGTGTTGTAGTAATATTTGACGTCAATGTTATGTTCCCTATCCGTCATTTCTGTCAAGCTGTTTACCGGTGTTTGGCATAGATTTCAAAGGAAAATAATTGACCATGATTATCGAGTTTATTTACAGTTTTGAAGGAGGAATATTTTTGATATTAGTATTATTTACGTCTTTCGGATATCTTTATGTATTAACAACTTGACTAATTTACATTAATCATTCTGAATCAGATTTTGCAGATTCTTTTAGACTCGTTTACAACTAGACTCCATGAACAGCTCCATTTCCTTCCCACAAAGGGAAAAATCTGTTCAATGTTTGGAAGGATGCGAACTTTCAATTAGATGCAATAAAGATATCTTTCTTCTTCTTTTCTTCTTAGGTTCGCGGCTTTGTCCGACGCCTACCGAGCGCACATTTTAAAAATATTTTTGTAATGTACATGGTGCCCCAAAGGCTCTCAAGGGATCAAAGTTGCGTTTTTTTAATGGAATGTCCAGTATATTATTGCATTTTTGGATTCGCTGAACAAAATAAGTGTCTGTTTTAATAAGGTTTATAATACCTAAATCTTAAGGTTTTTTAAATAATACGAATT